TCAGACAGGTGACAGACAGAGAGAAACAGACGGAGTGGATGATAGACAGACAAACAGACACGCAGACAGACAGGCAGACATACAGAAAGACAGATAGCTTTGAATATGTTCACATCTCCCACTTTGTCACTAATGTATTGCTTTTCTAAAATAAATAAATACAAATCAGCAATGATACATTTTAGCTGGTGTCTATGCAGTAAATAGACGGATTCCACCAAGTTGGCATGGCAATGAGTTTGTAGACTTGCTTCATTGACATCATATAATGCACGTTATGATAAATCTAATCCAGCTCTGTATTTTAACACCTGTGCAGCATAAAGCGTTCTTTGTCTTTGAGAGAAGGTAATTGAGGAAAATTGTCAGATGTTTTATAGCTGCTCTTTATATGTTCTGGTGAAAAGAGGTCGCCTTTGCTTTGTTACTTTTTAGCCATTAATGCATAAAAGGTTACTATAGCAAATCATGTAACGTATATCACTCACTCTTTGCAAATGTACAACACTGCGGCACTTATCACAGTAGGCTACCCTAACTGATAATAGAGATTAACTATAAATTGTTTAGAATGGCATTTTATTCATCTCAATATGGAAATGTGGGCCAGTCACTCTTCACTGTAACAAAAGAAAATTACTTTCAAGAATAAAATACAAGATCATAAAGAATAGATAAAAAACTCATCTGGTAACAGATATTCAAACACTTTTTCATACTAAACAGAACGGGGATATAAACATGCTGAACGATGGCATTATTAAATGAATAACGTTCGCAATAAGTTTGAAGCAAGTTTTCCAAGCTTAATTATCGCATTTCTATAATTAGATACATATTACATGGTTTACCCATTATTTCGATGGCAGATGATGGTTTCATATCCCATACAGCACAGTGAGAGATGTCATCGATTGTAGAAAGAAAGATTAATGCATTATGTGGCTGTCAGTGTGCAACGTAAGGTCCCTAATCACAAGGTTACCTGTCATTGTAACACCTATTGCAATCTGGGTGTGTGTTTTGTGTGTATTTGTGTGTATACGTATGTAATGTGTGTGTATGTGTGTGTGTGTGTGTGTGTGTATGTATATATGTAAATAGACTTTCCTCTGTGATATCTTCCCCTGGTACATACCCAAATGTATGTTTGTTTTTATTTGAATAACTCTTATATAATCATCTGTGAATCTTCCTATCCCCTAGCTTTATTGCAGGCCTATTTGACCCTATCTCTCCCAAAAAATGTAAAACTTCCATGCCTCACATCAGAATAGCACTCAGTCCACCTTCAGCTGATCCAGTTGCAATAAGCAAGGTAGCCTTCAGGACAACATTTAATGCTGCACATTTGCCCGCCCACCATACCTCTCCCCACCCCATGCTCATCGTTTAATTTATAGATTGACCCTCTCCCACAAATATCAATAATCCGATATAACAGCTGCAAATCAAATAATATCTTAACCCCTAACACTCACTCTTTATATATCCCTCACCTCTGCCTGTTACATTCTAGTCCAGCTTTCTACATCACTACATCTCCTCTCTGTGCCTCCCATGGCCTATTCCCTACTTCCAAGTTTTTTCTGGAAGTGCGTACCCATCTAATGCTCTATCTTGTCCTCCTCTTATTTTCCCTTTTCTTCCTCAGTATCAAAATCTCTCCTTACAGTGCCTATCCATAAAAGTGGTGACACTACTTTGGTTTCTAACTATAGCCAAATATCATTGCTCCCGGTATTGTCAAAAATCTTAGAAAAATGTGTCCATACTCAACTATGTGAGTATTACCAACAATTAAACTATCTGACCCCTGATCAATCAGGTTTCGCCAGAATCACTCCACTACAACTGCTCTCTTAAAAGTTTGCAATGACATCTAAACTGGCATGGAACAAGGAGACCTAACTAGAGCTATTTTCCTTGATTTTTCAAAGGCCTTTGACACAGTAGACCATA